TGTCGAACGTTTATAAATATGTTCGTTTATTAATTGATATCTTCACTTCGACACCTCGACTATCACACTGATAAATAAATATAATCTAGTTTATATATGTAAGGAAACCGTATTGTTGAGCCTTCAGTACATAATTACTGAGCCCGCCATATAACTGTTCGTCTACATCCTTCGTTGTTACAGAAATTAATGTCATAGTAGTTAACGTTCATACTAATATGTATATATATATATATATATATATATATATATATATATATATATATATATATATATATATATATATATATATATATATATATATATATATAATGTATAATAACTATTAATAATATAATGATGATATTGTTCTGATATTAACAAACCTCGAATGTTATGGACTGCTATTTTAAATAAATAAATATTGTTCTATAATGTTAATTAAATGTTTCTTCAATGTTCACACTACATAATCTTGGTATCTTCTATTTGGTTTGGAAACTCTTCCGGATCTTGTTACAACTTGACCTGGTGGTAATATGGGTGTTGGGATTGATGCTGCTTGTTGTGGAACTTCGTAATTTTCATCGGGAACCGTATTAACTGTAGAGTTGTTTGATACTGGTTGTGGAGAACTCTCAAATGGTGCGCTTCCATCTGGTTCGTCAGGTTCTTCTTTGATATAATATAGTTCTGGTACAGCAAGCAAATGTCTTCGATTTCTTCTATACTCTTTTCCATTTGATTCGACTATGTACGACCGGGGTTCCTTTGCTACTTGCTTAACTACGCCAATCCTATCATATCCTTTCGCCGTTTGCATTCTAACAATTTGATTCGCTTTCAAAGTTCCAAATATCTTTGCACTTTTGTCGTAATAGGTCTTCTGATGCTTTCGTTTCCTACGTATCCTTTGTGACACTTGTTTGCATGGAATGACGTTTGGTTTAAGAAGCTTATTTGACATCGGAGGAACTGTTCGAGTTCTTCTCGACATAAGGCGCTGTGCAGGTGAACCAAGACTATCATCCCTAGGCGTATTTCTTAGGTTTAACAACCCAAGTATAGGATCAGATCCATCCCTCTTAGATTTTTCTAATAGCTTCTTGGCTTGTTTAACTGCATTCTCTGCAAGACCATTCGATTGAGGATATGTTGGGCTACTGGTCACTTGCTTAAAACTCCAATCTTTCGCAAATAACTTGAATTCTTCACTCACAAACTGGGTGCCATTGTCAGTCATCAGCAATTCTGGAACACCGTGAACCGCAAAATGGCGTTTCATTTTCATTATTACGGTCTTAGACAACATGTTCCGTATGGTGTCAATTTCAAAACCATTGCATTGGTTTGTTACAAGTTGTGCGTTTTTACGTGTGTAGTGATAATATGAATAAGACATTCTTTGTATGTTTGCATAGCGATAAAATATATAATAGTTTTGTTTGTGGAAACACCACGTAAATTTATTACTGCAAAGCTTTCGATCCGTAAGCCCGGATCTTCATCAGTGCTAATAATATGAGCACTGATGAAGATCCGGGCTTACGGATCGAAAGCTTTGCAGTAATTAATTTACGTGATGTTTCCACAAACAAAACTATTATATGAATAAGACAGTTAGTTAAAAGTTTACTTTCACAAAAACAAGCTCGAAATTTCTTTAGACGTCTTTGCCATACTTCAGAAATGCATGTTCAGGAGAATATGCAATTGTGTGAAACTAGTTGAAATGGGAAATAACAGCACTTTCCTTTCAATTATTTTAACTTACAGATGATAGAACTCTCTCAATCATACACTCCTGAGATGTCGAAATATAAGGTATTGTGGAGACAACATTTTAGAAAACTTTGTTAGCCATTTCCCAATCGAGCAGAGGACTGGGTCTAGTTGATGTTTGGAGGGACGTTTGGAGGGAGAACAAGTTATAGTGAGCGAGCTAAATATATATTAAAAGATGCCTTATTATAACTGTTGCGTTTCAGGCTGCACAAATAGGAATGTAGGAACACTTCCTAGATGCCATATTCGGCATATTGTTTATTTTGTGTCCCTCCAAACAAGCGACTAGATCCAGCTCTGCTCGATTGGGAAATGGCTAATTCATAATGCGTAATATCCTTTTACAGAGTTTTACTGAAAATTGTATATTATATATCTTTCACTCACAATGTTCGTCTACAAAAAACCCTTCATCTTTTAGTTCTACCGAGCGAGATTTCCAAAATCTTAGTTTAGCTTTTTATTTATTTTTGCTTTATTTTGTTAATTAGGAAGGGAAAGTGCTGTCGTTCGATTCACATTCCAAACAGTTAATATTGAAGGTTACAAAAGAATCTCTGGAAAGAGTTAAAGGTAAACAATTTCGTCGGTATACATGAAATTTGTTTTTCATATCGCTAAGATGCACCCTATTGTCCCAATTTTACCATATAGACCCATTGCACTGACGTCACAAATCCTTAGAATGTCCTCCAGATGCTCCCTAACAATATCTGTTCGGGTACAACAACCATTTTAATACAAAATTATTATAAAATTTTACAAAATTTGCTTTGTTTACAGAAGTTATAGTATGCATAGATTGCTAATTTGTCCTCCAGATGCATCGTCACCGGCGATGTGACGTCATGTGCAATGGGTCTATATAGGAATAACTTGAGCAACCTTGGGTACGAGGTTGTATAACCAGATCGGTTGATGCCGATGGACTTTCCAATTATAAAGAAAGGAATGGGTGATTCCAGCTATATAGACAAAATTTTGATCAAGGCAAAAAGAACGAAATTCAACACCACAGCTACAAAAAGCGTCTTAGAATGAGTAAAACTACAAATATTGGTTGCTAAATGTTATAAAATGAAGAAAATATAGCCCTGTGCAGTTCGCAAATTTTGTTTATTTTTGCATTACGCGCGGGAAAAATAACCATTTTTGAGCCGAAAGTGGTTATTTTTACCGTGCGTAATACAAACATATACAAAATTTGCGAACTTCACAGGGCTATATTTCCCTCATTTTACAACAATTCGCAAACAAACTTTGCAATTTTACTCATTGTAACATGCTCTTTCCAGCTATGGCAATGGATTTCGTTCCTCTTGTCTAGATCAAAATTTTGTTTATAGCTGGAATCACCATTAGCATTTCTATACTTTTTAGGCGACGGTCGTGTTTCATCCAAGTTTGAAATATTCGAAAATAACGGAAACGAAGGCCAGGCTATCACCACAGAGGAAATATCAGATGAGGTGATGTGGAAAATTACTGCCTTAATTTATTCTTGGGTTACAATCACGTGATATTTTAGCGTAATTTATTAATTTGACTCCGGTGGGGGATAAATATCGAACTGAGGTCAACTAAAACAACAAAGAAACGAAGTGGTTGTCAACGCATCTTATTAGCCATGAAAGCCAATATGAAACAATATAAACAATACATAAGCCGTCCTTTACCCTTGACATAGATCCCCACGTGACGTCATATGAAACCCGAGAATTCTAGAGACCGATATTCCATTTGGACTAGCCCAGTGTGCGGACAGTTCACGAAATATTGGGGGGAGGGGGGTGGGGGCGAAGCCAAATGGGTTTGGGTCATGTCCGTTTAAAGATCTAAGTTATGTGAATCTTTCAGAACATAGGTCACTTGAAGAAATGAATAAAGATTCCCGAGTTGTGCCATTTGACTGATATTAGATACTTTTCCTAAGACTACAAATTAATCATGTCGATTGGCGCTGTTGTTTAATGTACAATAATATAAACTATCAATTCTAATTGTTTAAGGTTTTTTTATCAGTAGAGATGTATTAAGGAATCCTACACAGAACTTCTCGTTCTATTAACCGTGACAGAACATAACATATTGTATAAAATGCGTATGTTGTGGCATCATTGCAGGCATTCATTGTACAGAATCATATGTTGCTTGCCACACTGCTAACGTGATTGCATACTTGCTCCACTTGTGAATTGTGATATTTGGTAGCAGACTTTTATAGGTCTTTCAAAATTATT